GCGGCCGACCGAACCGCACGTTTCCGACCGACTTAAGTTTCCGTCCGCTATCACATTTTTCCGGATTGACGACGGAGACCCTGGCATCGCCTCTCCTACGTATTCTCTACAACCCCTTTGTGTGTTTACAACAAGCAACGCCTGACACCGTCGAACCACTATCGCCTATTCCCTTTGACAAAACCATTCGAACGCCAAGGCGAATTTTCATGTCAAATGTTACCATTCTCGAACTCAATAAATGATCTAGACGCAACGCGACTCAAATAAATATTGTCATTTATTCACCTACCCAAACCTCGTGTGCGTCGTCAAACCTTCCGACGCTAGGAGTCAGCGTCTACAAACATTATTTAGCACGATGTGGTTGTCGACCTTTCTTGAGACCACCGCAACGGTCGCATCCACACGGGTGTAAAAATACTAAAATAACCAATAGACACAATTTGAGAACCAAGATAAGGATATTATATTAATAATAAATAAATTAATTTACATATTGGATTAAAGCATAATATGGGTAATCTTATAAATAGGCGCAAATTGACTAAATTTGTTAGAGGGACTCAAGCTCCCCTTGACCCCTTCCCATAGGCTATATTATAAGTAAAAAAAATGTTGGAGGGAAACGCCCTCCATAAAATCCTCTACCCACTCAGCAATTATCATTATCGACATAAAAATACAAAGTACTTATTATATTTTTAGAATATGTTTATTTGAACAAAATTCTCCGTTATTTTTCGGTAAATACATTAAAATGTCTTCTATATTTATATTATTAGATAAAACCCTATCAATATGTAGCATAGATAGAGTTGGGAACCTAGTCTGATCCATAATTGACCTCAAAAACTATCATAACAACAATTTTTTTTCAATAATTGTATTTTGTAATTTGGTTAAGTTTTTAAGAAATAAACATGCTTAGTACCAAAGAATTTAAAAATTAGTACTTATTACTAGATTTTTAACCCCCCTATTTGCGCTAATGATCTTATATCTTTGTCTGTTGGGTATTAAACATAAAAAAGTTCTGGGGGGGATATATCCTCGTCGTCCCCACATAACCAATACCAAATACTTTAAATGATGATACCAAAAGGAAGTCAATTATCTGGTAAAAAATTATTTGATATATTCTCCTTATGTTGCAGTTACTAGAAATTATAATAAATACATGGTACACAATTTTATGATTTTTGTTATTAGGGAAATGGTTAAAAAAAATCGGTATCTTTAGAAATAAAAAGAGTGATTTTTGACATTAGTTAACTAACACTGTCCTTCATGGTATGATCATTTTAAAGTGTACTTTTATACTCTAACGCAGTGTTCTACGGCTTACTTGAAAGCGACAAAACAAAAAACAGCAATAGCATGATTTCGTTGCATTGTAGTGTGACAGAATAGCTTGATCGAAATATAAATCACACTCGCCGTATTCATGTAAGATTCAATATTCTGTCCAGCGAGAGAACATGCCGATTCTGAGCATTCCCTCAGTGTCACCCTGCAATCGAAACCGATTCCCCTATGGCAGGGTGTCATCTGCAGAAAAACGTCGTCCAGCGGTGAATTATTTTGCTAGACAGAGTATAGGTACTTAAGATTTAAAGCATATACATAAACGCGTCTACCATTCCTTGCTGTCAGGTTCGAATTGGTTTAAACTCAAGACAGGAAATAGCCAGTGAGGCCTCCTAGTCTGTGTGACTGTTTGGGATGAGGCCTTTCATTATAAATGGAAATATATACATATTAAAATGCATAATAATATGAAATATTGATTTAAAGTAAATTTTACGGCAGTGCAGAGCACCAGTGTCTACTTGGTAATGTATCATGAGAACAAAGATGTATTTGACGTTTATGTTATCAGCGATAATAAAAATATTGTATTAGTTTGGAGTAACTATTTTATAACTATACACCCAAAATCTCCATTGTCTAGTGAAACTCCATACAAATTTTAATTTACCACTAAAGCAGATTACAAATCACGATTATTTGGTAAGTAATGACACACTTATAAAAATAATATCTTAGTAATTAAAGTAATTAAAATTGAATTTACAGTATCAGGCAGAAAGACTAAACCATTATTTATCTAATTTAAATAATGTAAATTGTAAGTCAGTACTTCTAGGTACTGTATTAAAAATACAGAAATTACTATATAATATGTAGGTAATATATAAATTATAATAAAATAGTTCAATCAAAAAATAAACATAAATTATGTTGTTCTGTTTCAAAATTAACTCAGATTTAGAAAATCTTAAGACGATAAAATAACTATGTATATGAGGAAAAATATTCAAAAACTGAATAATAATTTATAAAATATTACAATACCTAATTGATACAAACATAGTAAGTATTTCATTATATATTACTATATTTGTATACATATTCGGTAATAGTTTATTAACCATTTAAATTTGAAATGATTTTGAGGAGAACAAAGATCAGAAAAATCTAAATTTCCTCACAAAAAACTAAAAAGTTAAAATTTTACTCAAACATGAGGCTGAAACTTACAGCTCGCTACCACATGCTTAATCATACCTACCACCTGTGATGTACATTCATTAAAATCGGAATTTACCTAAGCACAAATGTCAACAAATGTGAACTATTTGCAAAAACTCTCGAAAATATCTTTTCGCCAAATTATTTAATTGGTATCGAAACAGAATATGTAGTGTATAATAAACTAGTTGAACCCTATATTTTACTACAAAACATACTTCCCTCTAATACTGCTAGGTACCGAAATTACTGAATAATGAAGATAGTACCAAACAAAAAACCCCAGGACAAGATCTCTTCACAAACACCATAATAAAAAATTGTTTATAAAAAACAATCACATGTGTTGTCTAATGTATTCAACTCATTACTAAAAATCGGCTATTTTCCAACAGATTAGAAAAAGACCTTTAACTAAAACGATAAAAAACCTGGAAAAAATAACACAAACAGCAAGAACAGTTACATACATAATATACTTTCGCGGTTTCAAAAATATTTAAGTCATAATTATTACATACTATACAAAAATAATTATACTTTCACCTCGTTTTTCCCAAGAGCTCTATCTTTGGCTAACAGTATAAAGGATCATGTTGATTTTTTTGTTATGTCGCGATTTGTATTCAGACAGAATGTTTATTTGGCTTTAAATTTAAATTCTCTTGTTTAATTAGTATTATTATTTTATTCATATTGTTTTTGTAACCATTTATTGTTAATTAATGATTTTTACTGTACTATTTATTCTTTATTTAGCTGTAAACCATTACCATTGGTACTAATAATTTGTACTTCTTTGTTGTATCCAAATTCTGTTATAAGATAAGCTGAACTGTACTTATAATTATTCTAAATGCTAAAGGGTTTATTAATACCCGTTTATTAAACACAAATAAATAAATAAATACTATAGATTAGTGAATTACCAAAGTACAACTGAAGCCATTCCACACCATTAATTTGGTTTTAAACCAAAACATTCAACTACTCAACACCTTCCCCATCTAACCAAATACATAAACAATGGTTTTGAAAAAAATTCATACTGGTACAGATTTTTAGGTATTGAGCAAGCATTTGATCGCGTCTGGTATAATGAGTTCTTGAATAAGTTAAAAGCATTAAATACTCGGTCTGCAATTTACTATCTAATCAAAACTTCTCTCTTTCTTATCTCTGTTTTTCTGTCTGTATAAACAACTCTAACTCAGAAATAAGAAAATAACTGTAGGTGTTCTTCGAGGATTAAACATTTCTCTCTTGCTTTTCCATTTATATATTGCAGACTTTCCTACTACACCTGACACAAAAGTATCTATTTATGCTGACAACAGCATTGTCTATTCAAGCTCAAGTGATGCCAATATTGTAACCAAAAATATACAAAATCACTTAAACAAAATAACCAAGATACCAACAACTTACTTTAAAACTTAATCAATCGTCAACCTCCTTAAGTTTAAAATTATCTCTGTTTCTTTACAAACAAATACTCTATGCTACCTCCATCATATGGAGAAACTGTTCCAAAACCCATACAAATAAAATTCAAGTTTTCCAGTCCAAATTACTAAGAACAATACCAAATACACCTTGGCTAATCAGAAAAAGATTTCAAAAAGACTTCAAGCTTTCCATAATTAATACCTACATACAAAACACATGAACAACTTTTTTGACAAACTTAATCAAGCAAAAAGTGAGCAATACTTCAAACTAAGTGACAAGCTTACTCTCCATCAGGTCATGTGTGGATGTCCCCAATATTCTCACTTACCATTAATTTAAAAATAAATAAATAAAAAATATTTTTATTCATATTATATCCTATTCTATGTATAATTTACTCTATACATCTATGTACATTTTAATAAATAAAATAAATAAATTTGCGTATTGTCAATTGTTAAATAGCTAAAAAATAAAAGTACAAGCTTATATAGCTGTGATGTATAATCAATAAGTTAAATGAAAACTTGATTTAAAAAAAAAATTGTTATGATTTTAGTTGTATATATGTTTATGTGTACTAAAAATGTTAGCGGAACCAATATTTTTCTAGTTTTTATTAGTTTTGAAATATTTTAAATGTGTATCAAAATAATATAAACAATATCCTACAGAAACTTAATTATTTTTTTATCAGACATTTTATTAGTAATAATAAAGCTTATTAAATTATAGCCATTTTTGTCAAAAACAAAATTAATCATCAAAATTAAGTAAATAACTATTAATTATGGTAGTTGCTGAAGCGTTTTGTCCGATCCTGCCTGCTACGGGTTACTAAATTCCAACATTGTTAGAAAGATATTATATCTGTGCATATGAAAATAAAGTGTAGCTATTTTTGTCTAGCAATGTTTGAACAGATTCTCCCTCCTGCTGATATCGGTTAATTTCTTTAAAAGTCAATGTGATGGTGAAGTGATATTTAATAAATAAATAAAAAAAAAAAAAAGTGATTTCAAAATATAGTTTGCTTTTATAAATAAAATAATACATATATTTTAATTGTTTCATTTTGGCATTATTTTGATTGTTTGTTACTTTATAAAGATATCCAAGTGTAAATTAATAACATATTGGTCATAATAACTATTTTATGCAATTAAAAACATGTTGTTGGCTAAACAATGTACTGATGCACTTTAGGGTTAATAATATAATATTATCAAAAAAATAAATATCTTGTGGTCTTATGCTTAGGCTATTTAAAAAATAAATAAAAATAATAATTGTAAATAATAAACATACATGAACTTAATATAACATATCAAATATTTACAAAAATGATGTGCACAAAATAGTAATTAAAAACATGAATTTAAAAATTCGCACATACCCATGTAATTTTTTCCCTAACTATAAAATTATTTGTCATCAATCATCATTAATAACAATAACTCCTTCATCTTTTGGACCATAATCCCTTAAAAACAAAACAAAAATCAGAAAATTGAATTAACATTTTATGTTGCATAGAAATTATTAAATAATTAATATACTTGAATTCCTCCTGAAGTTTTTCAAACTCTTCTGCCATACTACTAAATAAATATGATTCCAAGCACTTCAATGATTCCTTATAAATTATTTTCACTAATCTACGAGAACCGTACATGTACTCAAAGCGGATGCACCCGGACCATAGTTCTGTAAAAGTAACCAATTCAAAATCAGTTTCAATAATATTGTAGACAAAATTGATACTTACTAATGTCTGTGTCGCCAAAAGAATTGCATACTTCATTATACAATTTCCTAATGGTTTTTAATTTGCTAATTCCTGAGTTCTGAGAGAGTTCAAATGAAATCATCGACAAATACAATTGTTTACATTCTGGTTTGATGTCTTTGAGTTTAATGAACAATTCACGAGTTGAAAGTATTCCATAGTGAACAACGTTCCATTCCAAATATTCAGGCCTGATTACAAAATTGATTTCCGGGAATGGAAAATGTGAGCCTTCATGATATAATTGTCGGAGCTAAATATAAATAAATACTATTATGAAGCAACTATATATTTTACAGGGAGAAAATAATATTTATAATTTAATCTCTAAACAAAAATCAAACACTTTTAGAGAAGTATTGAGTATAATCTGCTATAAGGTGATATCAGCTATAATGGAAGAGTAAAAAGTTTGAAAAAATGTAGGAATCACAGGGAATGATTGGGAGTTGGGACATAAAAATGATTGAGTTAAATGCTACTGAAACGTTTATATGTGAAGATTTCACTATTTAACGTTTTGGATGAAATATATTTTCCAGGATATCAAAAAAAAAAAATACTAACGATAACTAGGAAAATAGAAAAGTACATTTATAAGTTAATTCATTAAGAACTTAATTCTATAGGCAATGACTCTAGAAAATATTTTATAACAATTATCTACGAATTATATAATATACATATATACTTAAGACATTTAAGGCATATATATTTATGAAATGAATTAAATACTTTATCAATTCTGTATTTACAAATTTAAAAATTAAAGTATCTTATATTATTATTATCTATTTTTATATTCTGTTTTTATTGTATCATTTTAAAATCCATTAACAGTTAATTTGCATTAAAATTTCATACGAAACAATGTTTATCAATACACCATATTCATATGCCAAAAAAAATAAATACACCATAATATGCAAACCATTACCATTGTGATTCCTTTCCTTGTTAGTTATTATAAGATTGTGTTACAAAATAAATTTTATTTTTACCATTTATATATTTTACATGTTAAGTTTATTGTTAATGACATTATATTGAAATTAATATACTTTATCCAAATAAATAAACAAGTATTATGATCTTAACTTTAGTAAAATAAAATTTTTAAGTAAAATAGAAAAAGTTAAGATCATATTTCACTATTATCTTGTCCCAAAAATTTTTGGCGATTTATTAAATCCAAACGCTCTTCTCAGTCTTTTCCTACCTCTATGTTTTATTTAAATCAGTCTATTAATGGAGGTGATCAAATAGTTGACTGTTTTTCTAAGCATTTTTCTAGTGTTTATGTCAACTCAATTACACCACCGTTAATCAATCACTCGCCATCTGATTCTATCACCAATTACTCCGATCTTAATTTATTTTCGTGTGTCTTAAATCTTACTGATGTTCTCCAGGAGTTAGATACGCTGAGTTCAAAAACTAATCCTGGCATTGACATGATTCCGAGTATTTTCTTTTCAAATTGTAAATTTGTATTAAGTGTCCCTTTATTATACCTTTATAACTTGTCATTATCATCGGGTTGTTTTCCATCCGCTTGGAAATCAAGTTTTATTATACCTATTTTTAAAGGCAATGATGTTACTAATATAATAAATTATAGGCCTATCTCATTAATTTCAATTATACCTAAGATTTTTGAATCAATGATTTCAAAAAAGATTACACCACTTCTCTTACCTTTAATAAGTTTGGATCAACATGGTTTTAATAAAGATAGATCAACAGCCACAAATCAGTTAATTTTTCAGAAATTTATACTTGATGCCTTTTCTCAAGGTTTACAAGTTGATGTTATTTTTACAGATTTCTCTAAAGCCTTTGATAAAGTAGATCACCAAATTCTTATCTCTAAACTCCATACTATTGGTATTAATGACCCCTTACTTTCTTGGATCTATTCTTATATTTCCGATAGAAAACAAATAGTCAAGTGTAAAAACTTTAAATCGATTCCTTTTACTGTATCATCTGGTGTTCCTCAAGGTTCTCACCTTTCACCAATTCTATTTCTATTATTTATAAATGATTTAAATTTGTTTTATTCTAGAAAATTACTATTCGCCGATGATATGAAATTGTTCCGTCTCATAAAAAACAGTAATGATACATCTTTATTACAAGACGATTTAAGTTTTTTAGCTAATTGGTGTGATATTAATAAATTACCTTTAAACTTCGAAAAGTGCAAAGTTATGTCATTCACGCGATCTCGTAATCCAATTACTCACACTTATAGTTTACGTAACCACCATTTACATCGTGTAAATGAATTTTGTGATCTTGGTGTCATATTCGAATCTGATTTAACCTTTAATCACCACATTCAACATATTATCAATAATTCATCTTCGATATTAGGCTTTATTACAAGAAACTGTAAAGACTTCAATAACCATAACACATTAAAAATTCTATTTATGTCCTTAGTTAGATCTAAGCTTGAATATAATTCAACAGTTTGGTCTCCTTATTTAAACACGCAAATTCAATGCATTGAGAATGTCCAAAATCGCTTTCTCCGTTTTATGTCCTATAAATGTAATATTATACGTGTACCTCACTCATCTTATCAACCTTTGTTGAACACATTTAACATCCAGAGCTTAGCAAACAGAAGAAAGGTAAATGATCTATTATTTTTGTTCAAACTACTTAACGGGTTTTTCTACTGTCCGGAGCTATTAAGTTTTTTAAATTTTTCTGTTCCTCAAGTCAGAACTAGATCATCAATCATAACTACTTTTTATATAAATAATCACAAAACTAATTATGCGTTATCCGCTCCTATAAATAGAATGATGGCTATCGCTAATGATGAACAAATTGATTTTTTTAATTTCTGTCCAAATTCTGTCGATTTTTTCAATAGTTTTGTAAGAAAAAAAAGTTATTAAATTTAATTCTGTTATTAATTTTACTACTGTATTGAGTTTTCGTATTTTTGAGTATTTTCTCCAATTGTTATTTTTATTATATTTCTGTGTTTTTTGTATTATTAGAATATTAAGTATTTTAGCTATTCATTAGGTAATTTATTTTTTCAAATGTTATTTATCAAATGTTATACCATACCTATATGTATTATGTACTAAATTTCAATCTTTTTTGTAATTGGGTTATTACCCGTAAATAAATAAAAAAAAAAAAAAAAAAAATATAGTTTTCATTGTATATACTCTAAATGTTTAAAATGTATTGTATATAAATAACTAGTATAGTCTTATAACTTAAAAATTATATTTTTTATTTGTTTTTATAAGTATATTATGTTCACATTTGGTTGGTAGAACTTTTAATAAATGTATTAACTTAAATTTAATATGTAGCATTGATAATGAATAGTCATTACTAATTACTTCCATTTCAGTAAACTGATAAGAAATAGTTGTTACAAGTGTATAAGTTACCATTCGACACAAGCTAATTTTTTCCTTTTGACAATTTATCATTTTATCAACCACCCAAAATTTTGTTCACAATAATAAGCATAAACAACTTTAATTAGGACCTGTTCATTAAAAGTAACACTGGGGCCCCACTAGTGCGAATCATATGACCACGAGCAAAACTATTGCAACCACATTGTCAAATGTGGGGAAAATTATCACTCAAACAAATGTGCCACAGTTGGCATGCTAAATGCACCTTTTGCTCTTTGGATCAAACAGTTAATTTCAAAGGGTCTCGGATTTTTAAACAAACCTTAAAAAAAAAAACCTCTCCTAAGGTTCCACCTAACACGGCTGCTAGCCACCATACTCAATCCGACACTAAAACATGTGCAGACGACACTAAAACATATCATCGAGACATTTATCTGCTATTTTTTCTAAACTTATCAATAATCTAAATATTTTAATTAGCCCACTAATTACCGTCCTTTTATCCGTTTTAAATGCACTCGTAATATTGTCTAATATTTTTCTTTTTTCTTTTTCTGTTGCTTTCAATCTCTCTTATTACTATCTTATCTGTTATTACATTTATAAATTTCATTTTCTTAAGGTTTCATAATTGGGTTTAATTTTAATGCCATGTCATTATGTTACGATAATTATTATATTATCTTATTTTAATTCCGTGACATATTATGTCTTTCTGACCTTCATTTGTTATTAGTATTAGTATATTAGGTTATTTTACTTAGTATAAGATTTTGTATATTAATTGTTTAGTTAAATTAACTATGTAATTGTCGATGTATATAATAGTACATACTGAAAAAAAAATATGACCATTAAATTGAAACATTTTTTTTTTAAAAACTATTACTATTAGTTTCTAGTTAAAATACTACGTTAGCTCTACAACTATGCAACAAGAAGATATAACAGCTAGTGAAATTTAAATTAAAAATATTTAGCAAGATAATTTTTGATATAAACAAGATTTTAACATTGTTAAAAACACATCTAATATTGTACTTCATATTAAAATGAAAAAAATTCAGTATAAGTATATCATTAATATCATTAATAATATACTTAACATGTTGAAATATAATTTATTTTGTACAAAAATTCTATAATAACAACTATCAAGAAAAGAAATAACAATATTGATGGTTTGCGTAATATGATTGGAAGTCTATATTAAGAAAAGGCTATAATCAAAATGCAATTGCATATCATAATCAACATAGTAAGTATATAAGAATACACTAGAAAGTAGAAATTAATGATTTACAGAACTACGATATGGATACAACTTTATCTAGTTCTGGAATGTAGCTAGCATGTAATATAATGTATATTGTTATCATTATAGTGTTCAACTGTATCAAGTAATTTTTGACATAAGAATTTAATTTAACTAATTTTGATAAGTTTACTATTGAGAAATCATCAAAATATTAATACTTGTTTTACCAATTCAGGATGAGTGTTGCCCATGTATAAAATTAAAATTTCCCATAAAGGCATTGATTTGCTTTTTAAGGCTCGAACACCGTTTTGAAAAACTTCAATAACCATTTCAAGACTGTCGTAGTTTAAATAATATGATACTAAATTAATCCAGAGTTCAACATTATCTTCTATCGCTTCAACTGCTTTTCTCATTATTTTATCGTAGTCTTTAATTGTGTTTTCAGCCTTAATAAAAAATAAACAAACAAATTACTATTTAAATTATAACAATAATACTTTATAAAAATGTGCTTACCCAATAAATATATTGTTCAGGCTTATATAATGCCTTATTATCATGAGCTTCTTGAAAGGCTCGCTCCATAGTTTCATTCATGAAATTTTTGATTGTTTCTTTTTTCATGCGATAAGATTTTCGAATTTCTATAACATGCTCGATATAAAAGTTCCATAACTTATGTTTATTTTGAAGAGGTAAATTTTCTTTTAAACCATCTTCATAGGTTTTAATGCAGTTTCTATATAAAAATATGTAAGTATCATATAAAAGTATTTTTTTAATTGTTTGGATACTAACCTTATGCCATTAATATAATTTTTATCATAGTGTAATTGCTCAGTCTCCTGATGATAGATAAAACCATCAAAATGAATTTTAGCTAATTTTTGCCACATTAGTTCACTATGTCTATACTTCTTAACCATATCTCTATATAAAAATAAAATAAAATAAAATAAAATAAAATGTATGGTAAATTGTATTAAAAATTAATCAATACCTGACTACATTGCATTGCAGTTCTCTAACTGTGCTTAATTTTATTGCTCTGTCCAATAATATAAAATGAAATTCAATATCACCTTCAAAACGTTTTATTAGGTTTCTATATTTTTCAACAGCAATTGGAAGTGAGGCTCCTGCAGTCTTTTCTAAGTGTTGTACTTCTACCCAGAACTCTTCTACATATAAATTTTTACAATTTTCGTGATATTTTAATCCTTCTGCAAAATATCGTCTAGCTGATTCAACATTGTTTCGATCATCAAATTCATATGTTGCTGCAATTAAATACACTTCAGGATCACTATGGTATCTTGACATCAGTGTATCCAACATGTTGCTACATTTAGTAATAAATAATTTCTGAAAAAAAATATTCAAAATGATCAAATAAATATTTCATAATAAATAAACAAATTGGGAGTTAACTAATTTACTTTAATTCAATAATGAAATGGAAATATACATATATTTCAATAGTTATTAAAATATATAATTGTTCAAACATTTTTCTTCAAAATAATTAGCTATATAATGTGAAAATGTATTACGGACATTAAAATGTAAGTATCTAATTACAAAAAAAACATCTGGTATATTAAAATTTAAAACCATGAGTGTCCCTAACTTTACCGTGTTATAGCTGGTTTAGGGGAGAAAACAAAATATCTAGTATTTTACCCCACACCGCGTGTGGTACAGCATGGTTAGAATAGAAATTGTAAGTACTCATCCACACTTACTAGGCATTACATGAATATTTAAATTTGTTTACTTACATTATTCGAGCAGAACTCAATATATTCTGACAGTGAAGTCTTTTCAACAGGAAACAAAAGAAACATATTGTTGTACATATCATTGATACGATTTGATAAAATGGGAAGTATTTCAGTGTTAATATACTCTGTGTTGTTTTCTTTTATTTCTTGCTATAAAATAAAAATGGGTAATAATATTATAATTTGAATAATATCAACTGTCATAATCTTACTTCAATTTTAAGTTGACACGTATCAAGCATATTTAATTCAACTTTTATTTGTTTCAAAAATTCCTCTCTGGTGGCCAACCCAAGCGCAGTTTTCTGGTTAAGCAATTTACGGTCATCGTTTAACTTTCTAAAATATAAAAATCAAGTAAAAGAAATTAAATATAAATAAAAAAATTAAAAAAACTGTCTTAAGAAATGTGAGATTACGTTAGTTTGTCCCATTCCATAATGCTATAAGTTTTCATAAAATTAACTTCAGATTCTACTTCGTCAGGCGACATGGTGTGAAACAATTTCTTGATTAACAGGTCGAGACACAAAACCTTAATACTTAGGGTGGAATGTGCAATGTAATTGAAGTTCAAAAACCTGTAGTACCAACAAGATGCACCATAATTTCAGCACAAGATCAATGATGACTATATCAGATGTCAAACACCATCATTCTAAGTGTAAAAGTTTTTTTTAACAGCTAGTTAATACTAGTTATAACTTGTTTTTTTAACAGAAAGTGGTACTGGAATTGAATCAAATAATTTCATCATTTTATAATACCTATTACATCATAAATTTCATATAAAATATTTTAAGATCCTTTAAAATAAAACAGTATCTTTAAGACACCAAAATCTTATTTAAGGATATTAGTGAAAATCATTAAAATAGGAATGTGGTGTTTGAATAAAAAATTCTAAATGTAAACGAAGAACTTACTTCACTGCTATGTTGGGAGTGTTTACCGTTTTGTCATATAAATGCGTCGACAACACACATTATAGACAACTCACAAATTAAAATCTTTTGGTGATTGAGAAGGTTTTAATGTTTTATCTTCTAGTAACAAGCTCTTGAATCGAATTCCAGAATTCTATGTAATATTGATATGTTAATTCGCGGTCGAGGATGGAGAACAATCAGCGTTTCATAGTCGGCTCGTAGTTCGTACCTACTTAAAAAATCGGTAGCGATTGTTTAGAAGACAATAATTATTGTTATTCATGGTAAGATTCTCATACTATCATCATAGTCTCCTGCGTTTACACGTTATTAAGTTGAGCATTTTTCATCACAAAATTTAAAAAAAATTATATCTATAATAAATTATAATTGATTATAATAAATTATATTTCACGTTTTAAATGTTTAGTTCACAGAATACGGTTAGCGGCGGCGGCGTCGGCGGCGGTGTCGGCGTCGTCGTCGCAACGTCTTGTTGTTGTTGTCTGCCGGCTACCACAGTGTTATCTACAGATAAACTACTGATAACCTCATCACCTACAAACGCAGATATCCAAATGTGGTATAAACTAATTAAAAATTGAAACAGTAAAATTTTTAATTTTAATTTTTTAACTTGCCTAATTATTTAATTTTTTAATTGAAGGTTGTACTTTGTACTTTATTATTTTTATATAATTATTATTATTTGATAGAGATAGAGCTGGTTAGTGTGTAGTGGAAAATGCCTGTTGCCGTACTATCTGTCACAATAATATTAACATCATTATCTATCACAACCCGCGTCTTTTGATACCTACCTATCATATTATTTGGTTCCCTATAGTTCCAAACTTCCAACTCACAGTCATAAATAAATTATGATATAATCATTATAAACGCATGGGTAATGAAAATTGGAATCGTAATAAATGTGATGGTTGTTATCCATTTAATGCATTAAGATGTAAGCAGATAATAGATATATTCAATGGGTACATTCATTGTATTTTTATGTTGTTTCCAAGTCCATGATCAACTGCTAAAGAATCATATCATCCGGTCCAAGACAACAGATCAAGAATGAGCTGTACCACAGCCTTCACACAGCTCACATTGATATAACTTATGTATTTAATAGTTTTGCTTGTAATAAACCATTACTGTATGAACTATTTTATTAGCTATTCATTAGTAATCATCTAGATCTCTGTCAGTTGGCTTACAACAATGTGCATCAAGAAAATAAAAATTTTAAATCTGCTCAAATTATTGTGAAAATCGGTTCTTAGTATCCACATTTTTCCTGTAATGTACTCATGGAATACAGAATTTCCTAGAGAAGAAAATCTAAAAAAAATTATTTGGAAAATGCAAACAAAACAACTATCACTTATTGAATGTGTTTAAAATTGTATTTTAGTTTCTGGTCAATAATGAGAGAAAATAACATAACCTATAAACCATACCAAATAGGCAACGTACTTTCTTATAGAACAATTTGAAAAGGTTCATGATGAAATTAACAATAAAATTTTTTGAAATTGTAATTTTTTGTTTAAATATCCAAAAATATCAAAATTCGAACTCCAAATGTCCATAATGTAATGTTATGTACATTCATGTCTATATATAACTAAAAGAATACTGAATAACTCATGTGGGATCTTGCATTCAATTTTCAAGCTTTTAGATCAATCATGAAAATGTTTAACACTTGAGAAAAAAATTCAAAAATGTAAAATAGCTAATATTGGTTTGTATATTTTGAAAATGTTTATTGGGTTTTCAAATCGATCATTTAAGTAATAGCAGTGTACTACTGGATTCTTGTCTACGATTTATACTTTTTGAATTACATTAAAATCTAAAATCGTGATTTTACGTGTAAAATGAGAATATCAATAATCATTGAAACTAATAATTGCATGAGCTCATAGAAATATTTATGGAATTACGATCTTGGGGAAGGAACGCATAGAGTTTACAATGATGTGTTAATTTCTACCTGTCATCTACTTTTGGCGTAGTACTGTAGTAGAAATGCTCTGATTTTCTATTTCAACGCCTTTTCTTCTAATAGGAAAGTGAATTTAGTTTGTGCATTAGGGCTGTCATAACAGAAAACTCTCTGTAGTTTTCAAAAGCATTTGAAAAACATACAAAAAAAAAATGAAGTTTTTTTGCAAAATTGATTTTATTTTTTGGAATAACTAAAAAAAACTAATAACCGTAGTTGCTTTAAACTTTTTTGGAGATTTGTTGAGCTATTTAAAGCCATGAAAATTTTTCAATTTTTTTAAATTATTGTCAATACACAATTGTTTGCTCAGTCAAAAAACTTGAAAGTGTAATACAATGTTCCACTTTCACATAAGTTATTAGTAGTATAATTTAAAACAATTTGTGCATAAATCTATAGTGCTTTTGATAAGTGTTTGAAGTCCGAAAATTTGCAAATTATTTTTCAGTTAGAAATAAATAAAAAAATTATTTTTATTGCTAAAATTTGAAAATTGATTAAAAAGTTCCTCATACATTTTTCTTATTATATCTTAAAAAAAAGAAGATTATGGGAAAGTAACGATATTTAAATTCATAAAAATTAATTTTTTAATAATTAAATTTTATTAGTTACTTAAGTATGCTAGGCCGTCTCTGCTCAGAATCGTTTTTCATATATAGCGATGTAGGTATCACTGTATTCTAATTTAACACATCAATAACAATAAAAATGACATACTCGACAATTACTGAACAGCAGAGCGGTAACCACTTGTCCGTCTTATTTTTATAATTTTACTGTAGCAAACAAAACTTACATGGGTGATGGATCCTTGTGTTATATATTGTTATATTTTCAAACCTAAGATATGAATATTATACATTTTATGAATTTATAACTACAAAATAATTTCCAAATTGTCATAATTCGGACGAATTTTGTAATAATTCAACTTCAGATGCTTAATGCTTTGTAGCAGTACGATGTATGTTCAATTATTTTTTTTAATTCCAGCATGAACAAACTCAAAAAAACTCAATGTATTTAATAACTTGGTAGATAGCTACTATACCTATAACCTATATCAGTGGTCAATCTTTTTGGACTCGCGACCCACTTTTTAGGCCTAAATTTTTCGAGACCCACGTAAGCTTTGTAAAAAAGATCAAATTGCTTAATGCTTTGTAGCAGTACCATTAAAATTGAATGAATAAAAATTACATTTTAGTAGTTAAAATATTTAATTATTATTGTTTGAAAATATATAGCATTCATATGAAATTTAATTTTAATTTTAAAAAGAAGACTTTCGCGACCCAATTTTAAAGCTAACTTGACCCAAAATGGGTCGCGACCCACCGGTTGAAACCACTGACCTATATGATTTATAGAAAATACAAACATATACTGATACAGTGATATAGTAGGTATAATATAATGCTTTCTGCCTTTTTACTAAAGTACATTTTCTACCAGAAACCACCCTCAATGTGAAAAATCGAATCATTTCAATTTTTCCAGCTCAAAAGTTTAGTGACACACAAGCGTCATAAAAATAAAAAATAACGTCTCATCAGTCATCAATCATTGTAAAAACGATACATTCATTGCTCAGTATCTAAAATATGAATTAATTAATCCATTTTTATAATAATACAATTAAGGGTCTTAAAATAATATTTTCATATTTTTAAATTACTTATTATACAAAAGTTCTTTAATAGGAGGTAAGCGATCTATTTTCCAAAATAATATTTGATGTTTAATGGTTTGAGTTTTTAAAAGTTAATTCACTACATTTAGGTCAATACTAAATAATTATATTCAGTAAAATTGTACAGGTATTACTTCTTAATTATATTATTACAGTACGTACCTACTATATATTTCATCAAAGTCATTTTTAAATAAGTCACGAAACTACTCTCTGCGACTTATTGTACATTTTTATTTTTATTATTATAACACGATGCATAGTTATTTTTTGAAAATGAATAGTATAATTAATATTAAGGTCAATGGTTTTTTCAAATACGTCATAATCAATAGCGATAATTGCCCGACATTGGTATTCGCTCTATTATGGTAGGTATGTATGTATTGTATAGGTATTCATGTATTCTCGATAAGTAGGTTTATTGGTGTAATAGTTATATTGATATTACGGTATTCTGGAGGTAGGTATGTTTTAATTACAGTTTTACGCTAGATAGGTAACTTTGTACTTTAGGTGCAAATAGAGGAGGAGGGGTTACCCAACAATATCAATAGCCATCCAAATATTTTCAACATTTTTTTTAAGCTTATTCAATATGATTATATAGTAGGGTCTTAGCCTGCTGCTACCCCCTCATTATCAAACGTAATTTCCTCTCTTGCTTATAAGTTATAAATATAGAAACGGTGCTTACAGTGATTGTATATACGTAGGTAATATCACTAGAACCTACATATGCAAATAAAAAATAATGTTAATGATTAGTACTGGGATTTGTATGCCCTAAAAAATGCAAAAATATATTTTCATTCAATTCTTTCTACGAACGTCATTGTACATGGTGAATTTTTTTTTCAAATACTTCATAAGACTTAACACTGTAAAATAGGAATATTGTTATAGTCTCTTTAATAATTTGTAGATATGAAATCGGTGGTTATTACATATCTATAACACGTTTGACACTATCTGACCATTATCTGGTACCTACATATCTGTACAAATATGTAAAAAATGTAAAATAGGTATGCAAATAAAAATATCATTCAAATAATCAGCCCTACAACACGCATTTTTCACTTACGGAGCTACGTCTTTAAACAACAGTAATAAAATGACAATGCATATAAATTCCAGCTCTATTAATACATTGATTCTATATACAATTTAAACATAAACTAAATATTTATTTGTTTACCTACACTTTTTATAATATAGATATTAAGTAGGAAGTGTATAAAACAGTTTAAAAATTTTATTAGGTAATTGGATTCTGTAGATTATTATACAATATATATTAGGTAGGTACCTATTATTTAAAAAAAATGTTCCTATTGTATTTGTATAATAAATGTAATTAACAATATACAAGTATCACATTATTCGCAACTTTTGTATACACGTAAGTGGTAAGTATACAGTTTTATTTTTGTATTTAATAGCTTCCTGCAGTTTTTTACTTTAAGATAGGTAGCTCAACAATACATCACAGAGGTAAAGTCATATAGAACAAGTTCAATGAAGCTCATATCTTAAAGATAAAACAAGTTTGAGCATTGCTAAGTTTTAATAGTTTTTAAACTTTGCATGCTAAAATACTAAAGAATTGTGGGTATATAATGTATATTGTTATAATAAAATATTTAATTTAACATTTTTGCGAGCCAACTTCATGTACGTTGATTTCTTTTTGTCAATACCTAATTTTACATAGGAACTGATGTATAAGTGGCGGTTGAATTTAAAGTAGGTACCTATTAAAAATTAATTTTTTAAAGTAGGCAGTTTTAGGCCGGCATATTTCGCTGTTGTCAGCCGCCCATGGTAACGCCCGATTCGAACGTGTTTGAGAACCCTGCATTTTGTTAATTTGTTATCAGCTAGTAGAACATGCGTATAATAACAAGATGTTAATGTAGCATGACATGTAGGTATGTAAATTGAAAATAGAAATAAAAACGCAACATTTAATTACTCAATACGATTAATTATTATTACTTACTAACTATTTGATTTATTGTATTATTTTATCGTACGAAGTATTCAACAGTTGTACTAGCAGTAGTAATTGGTAGTTACTAGTGTGTAAAAATTATTAATTTACCAATGTCGGATCGGTTAGTGTGTGCCTACCAAAAACATTATTTTTCGGTATACTGGTTAAAATGTGTCGACATACATTGTTATTGATCGTAAACAAAACCTATATAAACTGAAATAGTATGCAAATTATAGAAGCATGCATAATAAAGGTAGGTAGTTGTAATACCCATAAATTGATTATGCATCTGCTTGTTTTTAATCTTTTTAAAACATTTTTTTTAATCGATTTATTTGTTTGTGTTTGATCTCATAGTATACAAATTATAGAATCCGGAAGACACACCTACATTAATAGGAGTAAGTAGGCGGACATAATATGACCGACCAGAAAGTTGTATATTTTTGGTGTAGGTGTTTTAATCATAATTTGTAATGTGTGGGCTTTCTTGAATTAGCAGTGTAGGATGGATGGTGGAACACCAAACATCTTCATCATCAGTACTTGTATTATAGCTACATATTAGGTACCACTCAGTTGAACAGAAAAAAAATCACTGGAAAATGTCAGCTGAATTCAACTCACTGATGGTTAGTGATAACGCTAATAAATTGGAAGTAGCTGAACTATCAGAATTTATTGAAAGTAAGTTAAAATTTATGTTTGCTAGAATATTTTAATCTGACTGATTTTTCATTTACAGATCGGCTGTATTTTATGGTTTTATCCAATCATAAGGGTCCAACAACACTTCAGAATTTTAAGGATTGGAAAAATGCATTGAAGGACAATGATGTATTCTATTTAAATGTTGATGACAATTTGGTGTATGATGGTTTTTATAGCGACTTTGGTCCTTTAAATTTAGCTATGATATATCGTTATATTGGTATAGTACGCGACAAGCTTAAAGTGAGTAAAACTTTTTTAATTAAAAATAGAATAAATAATTATATTTATTATATTTTAAGAATGTACTAACTAGTTTAAAAAAAGTTATAAGCTAATTATAAATTATAAAAATTTTTTACAAAATTGAAAATGTGCGTAAACAGCCCAAAACGAATCAAAATATTTTGAAAATTTTATGAAGTTTAAAAAATGATAAAATTAGCATTTGGTGTAAATTTCAAGTAGCCGTGGTTATTCGTTTTTTAATTGAAACAAAATAAGAAAACAATTCCATGAGGATGTCTAATTTCGTAATCATTTTAACTTCAATTGTTCCTAAATACTTAATTTAGTAGACTTTTTGTTTTGTTAGAAGTAGAAAAATTTATGAAGGATCTTGTATTACATTTTCAAATCTTAGATATAAATAGAAAATGTTTATGAATTTCTAACATTTTTGTGATTTTGCTGAATTTTACAATATTCTAACTTGAGATGCTCAATAAAAAATACTGTAGATTTACTTTACTTTCAACTTTTTTTTTAATTTCCACAACACCTTTCTGAGGAACTTTGTATTATATTTTCAAAATTTTTGAACAATCAACAGTTTTTTATTGACATTAATTAAAAAAAAAAACTAATTTAAATCAAAAATTGCATATGTCTATGAAATGCTCATGATTTTTATCTCCTGAATGTACCAACTAGATTCACTTTCCCACTAGAAAAGATACTGAAGTTAAAAATTACATTAATTCAATTGCTTATCATGTATAGGCACAGAAAAAAAAAACAATGTAAAATCAATACATTCATTCATCCCCCCAGAATCTAAAAATGTAAATACCACAAATTTAATTGATTAAGAACTATATAGAGAATGAGGCTAAGCAATATTTTATAAAAAATAAACCTATTATTATTTATTAAGTATTTGTGTAGTAAATATATTCGATACATATTAGGTGTCATGTACTGAATCAATTTTGTTTACACATTTAAAAAATGTAATAACATTTTGTTTTTATTCTTCATTTTTTGAAATGAATTTTATTGTTTCATTTGAATCACCATTATTGGTTAATATATTTTAGAATTGAAAGGACTATGAAATTGCTTTAGAAACAATGTTTTTCAATATGTCAACATTGTTATTCCTTTTCTTGTCAGTTATTATTATAAGAATAGTTTACAAGATAAATTAAGTATATTTTAACTGTTTAAATATTTTACATGTTAAGGATATTGTTAATGTAATCAATGATTTATCAATACTTAATTTAACCTATTTTAAAACAAAGTACAATATTAAATGTGTATCTAAAAATGTTTTAATTAAATCATTTGTGTAGTTAAAAAATAAAGTAATAACTATTAAAAGTCCACAATTTTAAAATAACTTTGAAACATTCAGTTTCTGTTTATTGTACTGACATTAATATGGTATAACTGATATATTTTTGCCTAAGTTCAGATAAATAAATAAATATTATACTCTTAATTTTTTCTTTTAAATTATTGGTGTACAAATTAATAAAACCTATGATTCATAATTAATTTGTACTTACTGTATTATCTATATTGCACTTTAGTTTTGTCTAATTATTTTTAATTAATTTTTAGGTTTACAAGAGAGTTATTCACTGTGCTCATATTGGTGATCAAAAGAAAAGGTCAAATGCAGCTTTTCTTATTTGTGCATATTTGGTCAGTTTACGTATATAAACATACTAACAAATTATAGATTTTTTACATTCATATATTAATGTCATAGATAATTGAAAATAATTGGACAGCTCATCAAACATATAGTATATTATCAAAACAATATAAATATAAATATATACCATTTAGGTAAATATAAGGTAAAAAAAACTTGAATGTTTTTTAATTTATTTATTTATTAACACTATTAGAGACGCATCATGTTTGTTGCAATCAGAATATTCAGTGTCAGTTGAAGAATGTGTTAATGCCTTATACAAAGCTAAATGGTATGGATTTTTTGATATGAGTGACTTTGATTTGGATGAATATGAAAAATATGAGGTAAATAGTAATTTAATGTTATTATTTATTTACAACTATAAAGTGTTTGTTTCTTTAGACTGTGAAGTATGGTGATATTAATTGGATTGTACCTGCTACCTTATTGGCATTTTCATCACCTCATTCTCGAGATTATGTTGACAAATGTATTTACACTTATTATAATTTTGTTTTATTTAAGTTATCTATTAAGAATTATAAATTATTGTTTGATATTTATATTAATAGCTGGCTATCAGATACATTCTCCAGCTTACTATTACCCGTATTTCAAAGAGAACAATGTCAAGCATGTAGTTAGATTAAACAGTAAAAAGACGTATGATGCTAAACGTACATTTGTAGCAGTAGCTAATATTCAACACACGGATTTGATTTTTACTGATGGTACACCACCTTCAGATACTATACTCAAATACTTTCTGCGTCTCTGTGAGCAGTACATTGATGATAGTTGTGAAGTTGAACACACAAATAATGAAAAATGTGAATCAAATGAAATCACTCCAAATATAATTATAAATAATGAAGTTAATATAGATAAACATGCTGGTGCTGTGGCTGTTCACTGTAAAGGTAAAAGTAAATTATGACTTAATACTTACTCTCTTACGTATTTGTTCATCATGATCTTCAGCTGGATTGGGAAGAACTGGTTGTTTATTGGCTTCATATATTGTGAAGCATTGGTCATTTACGGCAGTAGAAGCTATAGCATGGACTCGAATATGTCGACCTGGTTCAGTAATTGGTGTGCAGCAACAATGGCTAATCAAGTAAGAATCTAAGTTTAAATTAAAATTACCTTAAAGTTGGAAAATAAATATTTGGTTTGTTCAATTTCTCGCTTATATTATCAGTGTTTTATTTTAAATATAATGTTTATTACATAGTAAAGAAGATTATTTAACAACTCTTGGCAAACAATGGCGAGAAAACCGGAAAAATGCTGTTAACAAATATAAACGGTTTACAAATGGAGTGTACAGTGTTAAACGGCATACTTCCAGTGCTAATGCTTATGAATATGTAGATCCACCTCCTCATTTATACATTAGTAATGAGAAACAATTCATCAGCAGTGGCAATGGTGATAGTGAAATAGAATCTGAAGAGGTAATCTATAGAGTTTATTTGTATAATATCATTTTTTAAATTATTTTTAATTACTTGCAGTACAATCAAACCAGACTATCATCTGTTTTAAAAAATAAATTGAAAACAAACAATCCTGATATCCAAAGTGATGTATACATACCAAACTTTAGACAAAAGAGATCAGCCTCAAAAACAGAGGACCCCAAGCCTAAAAGTTCATTTTCAGCGTTAAAAAATATTCGTCGAGTTACAAATGCATCTATTGGAATAAGTATGAATAATCTGGTGAAAAAAAATAATACTGCTCCAACTACAATAACTATCACAAGAAGTAATTTAAAGACTTCTATAATTGGGAAAAAAAATACAAAACCAACAGCAGTATGTAAAACTAGCACCAAAACAACAAAAACATCAGAAACTGCCACTGCGTAATTACTTTTTTAGGTTTTAAAAATAATATGTAGTGTGTTCTAAATGTTTAAGTAATTTGTAATTGTGGGTTGAGAAATTAATATATTTTATTCATGTTTTTTTGAAAACACATGACCACAAAATTATGATAATTATGGTAGAATTGTTTTTGAAAAATCAATATTTTCAAGTAATTATATTATGAATATTTAGAATGATAACATACAAAATAGATCACTGAGTACAGTTGTATGTGTAGATTATGGTATTATATTAACAATGCGCAAATCGTGTTAATTATTTATATTATTTGTAAAAATTGAAAATATTGGTTCTTTAATGACAATTTAATATCTGATATTGCTTTTTATCAAAAAATATTCAATTTAATTGAGATCTTTAGAAAGCAAAAGTTACAAAATTGCGGTATCAAAATTCCCAACTTACGTTAATTAAAAGTAAGTTTTCAATTTTAGAACACACTATGTATAAGTAGTGGATTTTATTACAAACTTTTAATAAGTATTTATTTATTTGCATAGAATAACGAATGAAACAAAACCATCTTATGCTTTAGCAACTGTGGCATCATCTGCACGTGTGTCAAGGCGTCTTCGTAGTCAAAACTGCATTACTAAATAAAATAGTGAACACATTTATAACACTGAGTGCAAACAGTTATGAAGAATGATATTCTTTTATGGATAGAAGGATCACATACATTAGAGATTTAGTGCTTTAGAACATCTAAAATGATTAGTTAGATTTTTAATGGTCCTATGCCGGGTTGCATGAACAATTACTAAACATTTTACTAATCAATAGTGAACTAATGGTCCTTTAAGCATGATTTAGTAGCCCATGATTGGTCCATTAAATTTTATTGGACTGTTAAATTAATACATTTTTCTTGTAACCCAGCATTAGTCTTGACAATTTTGAAAAGTTTCATCTTGAGTTCAATATTGATTTACAGTGGTTGGTGCTTATTTAAATCAAGCCTAAATGCTATATTATATTTTGTTTAGCATTTTTTTAGTGCTAAAAACTGGACATGTCTACAATAACAGACTGGAATTGTGTTTGATTTTTTTTTATTGACTGATATGAATTTGCCAAAACACCAAGATAAGACTAAATTTAAAAAAAAAAATATTAATTTGTTTGTTTTTTACAATAATTATGTGTAGACACCTACAAATACATCATTTTTAGGGTTAAAATAAATCTAATTTTCCTTTTTTTTATGTGTGGACATGGCTTGTATTTGGGCAAGTAGTAAATGATATTTAGTATGTTTGTGTGGTTTTCATTTGGGTAAAACCCATTAAACTACCTATCTTTTGGGCAATTATACATATCATTAAAGCGAGATTAATATAAATACATACCTAATAAATTGAATACATCATTTGGGGGAATTTATATATATTGTTTGAATGAATCTTATGTGATACTTAAGTAGCAATCTCAGTCAGTTTTAACTATCGTTGTTAAAAACATTTCTTGATCAAATTATAATATGTTATAATACGCTACCAATTATTTAAAATATACAATCGCTGATATAATTCTAAGTTTAAATTTTATAATATTGTGTAAAAAGTTTTTCCATTTTACTCTTATATAAAAGCTAACAAAAATTGGTTCTGCTGAATTAAAATCTGCTATGTTACGAGTCTATATAAGAGCAAGAAATCAAATAGTGTGCTGACATCCTCTTAAATAAGAATTTGACTGTACTTTTAGTTTATTTTTTGCCCAATTGATGTATGCTTCACTCATATTCATTTTGGGTCATTCATCTAAATTATGCCTGTATGTGTAACCTACCCAAAGATTACCCACATCATACAAAGAATAAATGCCTGCACATTTTCATGTACATGTAATATAAGCAATATGAAAAATATATTTTTAATAAATGCATCAACATATAATAGATATACATCTGACAAACAACATAGGTAATTCTTGTGGTTTGGTCTTAAAAATAAAATAATAATTTAGTTTAAAAATAAATTATTTTTGTATTAAATAAGCTCTAATCTTTACATTTTTAAAATCATACTATTGTAAGATTTTATAATGTAATATGTTTATCAGGTGTTAAAGTAATTTTAATATGTAGCTTCGAAATAAAAATAGTAACTATTATTTGCATAGATGTAGCAGTCCGGTGTTTGCTTATATTTAATTTCGATTATTTTCTGACTATCAATTTTAACATATATTTGTAAGTTATTACCAAAAACCCAATAAATATTTTTTATATGTAGATGTATAATAATAAATATGTGTATTGTGATATAATTTCATTTTTATTTTGATTAATATAAAATAATACACGAATCAGTCCTATTTTTCAATTTAATTAATACTTGTGTTATATGTACTTTTCCTATGATTTGATATGAATAATAACAATAATTCTGAATAAAATTTTATTTTAAATTTTCTTCACATTTATTAAACAATTTATGTTATCGTAAGTATTAGGTGTTTAACCAATCGAACACATTACTATTATAATGTGACTGTTACTGTAGATATTTAATAATTATACAATTTTTAAACTGTATGTTGTTGTTTAAATGATCTTATACTTAAAGATTTTATTTGTTGACTTTATATATTACTAATAACTAAGTAAATTTATATTATACAATTTATGTACGTGATCCCAGTTCCATAAGAATTTAAGTTAATTTAATTTAATTTAATTTTGTTTTAATAGCAATCTTAATGGTACATTGATACACATTTATTATTTATATATAAATAAACTTAATAGCATGATTGTTGAGATGTATACAAATTATATTACGACTGTAACTTATTACCTAGTTGATCAGATGTTAAATTCAAATTTAAATTATGTTTGTTTCTGTTTTATTATAAATTAATGTGTTTGGTTAAGTACTATTGTTCGATTAAATCAAGAAGGAGTTGATACGTAAACATTATATCATATAAAATCATAATAGTTGTAGGACGATGTCATAATTAAAGATAGTTAGGATGAAAATGAATTTCGTCTATTAATTTCACATAAGAATGTATTTATTGGTTTTTTTACATTTTATTTATATGAGCAATAATATAGTGTATTTATTCTTATGTAGACATTATTTTAAATACTTCCTAGAAATAAAAATGTTTTGACTCTAAATATAATAAATTACTAACATACTTAAATTATGTTGAAGTTATTGATGAATAATAGATAACATTAATTTTTACAATGATGTATTTTTTTTTATGACACTTTTATGAATAGTAAATTTTGGTTACATGATAGCAAATCTGGTAGCAGTTCTTAATTATCATACTGTATTAAAAATAATAATAGTTTTAGAAACTAAAACATTACACTTATTATTTTTATAATCTTATTTTCTATCACAATGACATTTTCAAAATGAATATTCTAATTTTAGTTATTTATTTATTATGGTTACATTCATTTTTAATTTTTTTTAGCTTTTAGTTGTTTATGGGCAGAGTGATAAATGTAGGTTCTGGTTTTAAAATGATTGTTTTTTGTGTCTTTAGCCTTTTGGAAAAGAAAAAATGTTTCTATCTTTAACTTTAAAATGGTTTCTGGTAACAAACTGTACCTAGCTTGTACGTTAGATAGAGTTAGCATAGTATTGATAAGTTCTAATTTAACTTTCCCACATGTGCACTTTAATTGCCCACGGTAACTAGAAAAACAACTTAGAATTTTTTTTAAATATATTCACAAAAATTAATAATGATTTTAATTTTTATAATTTTTCTATTTATATAATTGTATGAAAATACTTAAGTATTCCTTATATATTTTGTACTTAATATGAAAAAAAAGAAAGGTTAACTTGTATACCTTTGTATTTACATAACTATATATAATACTATATAGGTATTATAAAAAAATTGTTCCTAATGTAGTTTTTAATAATAATTTATTTAAAACAGTCTGGTTCCCTCTCGATTAGGTGATCACTATGGATATTATTACAATTGTTATTTATTATATATATATTTTTTTTAAGTTATAACTTTTTTTTATTGATATTGGACATTTTCAAGTAAATTATTTTTATATTTATAATATAAAATGAACAATAATTCGTCCCAGCCAAATTGTTTAGTAAACAATAATGATATTGACTTAAAACCAATATTTCTCAGTAATTCTGTTTATGAGTTTTGTAACGATAAGAAGAATGTAGATGACCAACTAACTATATGGGGTTTGGATAACACGAACATCAATGACACAAGTGCAGCACTGTTCGACATGAATTTCAATGATTACTGTGAAAATTTAAACTTTGAAGAACCAATATTAAATAATAAACAATGTGATTGCAATTGTACTGCAACGTGGCAGCAACTTAAACAAACTTTTGAATTAACTGATGAAGAAATACTGAAGGGATCTAATACATTAAAATTCATGTTTCCTGAAGATATTTTTTATACTTTACCCATTGACCTTACTAATGACAACCAAGATGATAATTTAGATGATTTTCAATTGGATGAAGAATACATGTATACCCAATTAGGAGATTTTAATGATGTTGGCCCATATCAGGAAGCAAATATTGCTGTAAAGGAAAAAGAATCAATTATTGTTGATGAACCTAAAGTACAACCAAGTATCAAAAATATCAAAAAACCGATTAGGCCCGAAAGTAGACAATATAATGTAAATGAAAAAGATATCACAAAATACAACAACACAAAAGTTGTTAATAAAATTACTGGTTCTAAAAACCCCGACCAGGAAAGAACTAAAAATATAAAGCAGAAACAAAACTCTAAAAATAAATCAAAGTCATTTAACAAAAAGACTAAACGTTGTGCGGAAAGCAAATTAATAGTAAGCTCAAATAATAAAAAAGAAGAAAACAGGATGATGAACATGAAGTATGTATATACATTTGGCGAGGATTACCGTGGTGGCATTAATTATGGTCATAAAAATTGTATTAATTTTTGGATGCCAATTCCACATAATAAAGGTTGGATTGATGATACATTTTTGGAAGCCGTAAGTTGTTACATTTAATAATAATTTAAATATATAAAATTTGAACAAGAACCTTCTTCCACATACCTATTACATTTGAAGTTTCTATATCATGTAAAACTGGATTCATTAAAAAAAAATGTGGGTCATAAAGATAATTCTCACATATTTGTGCTTCTAATGAAAACAATATAGTCAAATTGGCCTACAATTTAAAAAAAAAATGACTTGGTATGGTTGGTCAAAGTTCCCGGCATAGTCAGTATTTTTATTATTTTCAATTTTTATTCGTATAAAACGACGACGGCGATGTATTTTTGAATAGGTACAAAGAATTCTAAAAATAGACGAGTTTGTGTACAATCAGTATTGACGAATCTCCATTGAAGTCCCGTATTTTATCGACTTATTTTCGGTATTATAAAATATTTTTCTGAGCGAAGCATCGAGCAATGCATGTATTGATTTTATAATGATATGTTTTCATTTTTTTTTGTGTCACATTACCTTTTAGAAAAATGCTTTGATTTTGGCGTCAGCATCTTTTTTGGTATGAAAGTTAATCTGGATAGTAATAACATTTCAAAAAACAAAAACAAAACAAAAGGTAAGCAAGTGGGTACCGCATTTATGTACAAAAGGTATGTGTTGAGAGGCGTCAGTGTAATGACTATAATAGATATGTTAAATTTGAATTCTAAGAAAAGACAGTCTGTCAGTATGACATATAAGTATATTCTAAGATATAATTGTTATTAAAGTAATTAATTTTATTTTTAAACACTAGTAATGAAGTAGTTTGAATTAATTTTTGCAAAAAATTCTATTTGAATTTAATTTTGTGGATAAAATATAACACCTGTATATATACTTAAATAGTTTCAACTTGAACTTTTAAGTACCCACGAATAACATTCTTAAATCATAAGAATATAATTTAATTCATTATTTTCCGTTTAAATATCTAATTTCATCATGGTTTGTACTTAAATGTCTATTAAAAAAATCTGTTAATAAAATGTTTTGATTATTTTATTAGGTACACTACTTATGAGAAATATTATTTAAAATGTTCAATCCTTAGATGTACAAAATGAATATTTTATAAATTTTGAACTACCAACAAAATATTTTGCAAATTTTGTTGAATTTGTTCAACGTTTTAACCTTAAATGTTTTCAAAAAAATAGTGCTTTACCCATCTTTATTCTTTAATATTTATGAACTACTATTATATTTTAAGTTATAACAATATTTATGAGGAACCTTGTACTAAATTTCAAGCTTTTTGACTAAGCTGAATTTTTCTTCATAGAAAAAAACCATAGCACACTATTCGATAAAAAATTAAATAATAATAACGAAAAATCTTGTATCCAGTCCATAAAAATATTTACTTTAAAAAAAAACTGAAACATTTTTCAAATTTTAAATGTATATTAGTATTTAAAAAAAGTAAAATTTTTTGTAAATTATACTATGTAAAGAAAAGGCCAGTATAAACATTCGATGAATTTATTAAGTATTTACGGATATTCGTTTTTGAATTTCAACAAAATAAGAAAATCGTTCTATGAAAAATCGTTACTTAGTTAATCCAATGTCGGAAAAACTTCGAATAAATAATAAATTTAATAAATTTATGAGGAATCTTGTATTTTATTGTAATTTTCAAATCTTATCTATGGAAATAATTTTTGTTATGAATTTCTTACAACAAACAACTAGGAATTTTTAATATTTACCTTTCGAATCCACTAAGTAGATTCACTTGCCAGAAGTTACTGAAGTTGAAAATCGAAGCATTATTTCTAATTTTTATTAATTATTAACTATCAAGTACATAGACACCCAAAAAAAAATCATTGTGAAATATATGCATTACATTGCATTTACATCTCTGCTTCCACCGCCGAATCGCTCAAAATAGCCAAGTTAAATATTTTGATGACAAACACAAACGTCAATATACAATTAGATTATTTTAAAATAAAAATCACTAGGAAATAACAGACAAACGAGGTTTACTAAATTATCTATTGGTGTCAAATTAGCCATGCCTGACACAATAATATATAGTTCATAATAATAATAATACATAATAATGTACCTTGTATACATGGAAACTAGAAGTCTATTGTAAATGTAAATAACGTTATTGTCATAACAGGAGAGGAAAAAAACAATCGACAAGAAAAAATTACGAATTGAGGAGGAACAACAGAACAGGATAAAAGCCATGGAGACTGAAAAGGCCACGATAAAAAGAGCAAGACAGGAAAGAACGATAATGCGTTTCCCCTCTTCGACTTCTAAATCCAAATCTAAGAAAGCAGCAAAAGCTCCTAAAATCAAGAAAGTGGAGGCGGTTCCCGCATTCAAATTGAATAAAAACCGCAGTGGCATATACACGATGACTATGAATTATTATACGAATGACGGGCAATTGGACAAGACGGAAGATCCAGTAGTGTTCAAGTTAGCTGACCACACAAAGGAAATTGACGACGGCGACTCCAATTCAAGTTTCAACGTAGAATTCGTCACCCCAACGGCAATCCACGCATTGCGTTCGAAAAAACCCGTCAAAGCCAAAGTAGTCCAACCATCTATTACGATCGTCGAAGAAGTCCCAAAACCAGTTAAGTCAGCAAAAAAAAAGAAAGTATAAAGAATTGTTGTTCGTATCGGGCTATAACTATAACCGGCAGTGGAATCATTAGTAAGTCAATTATTTCTAATAGTATTTAAATAAACAGAACCTACTAAAATTGCTTACCCTTTTCAATCCTCTTTAAAAGAGGGTAAGTGGCAGTTCGGGTCCTCGTTTAAGTTCTGCGGCATCGACAGCACCCCGTATGGATCAAGTTCTGACAGCAAGCCCATACGGATCAAGTTCGGGCGAACATGGGCTTAAATAGTAGAGATTGAAATCCCGAATTATCCAGTTTTAAGACGATGACCGTAAACTTGTTGTTGATCTGTGCCATTTACGTTATCCGTTATGGTTCCAACCAATAGTACTTTTAACTTCGAACACAATCTATACAAATTATATTACACATTTTCTAGACCATTATTTTTAACCATTAAAACATTTTAATAATAATAATAACAAAAAACTATTTATTATATTTTTTTTCCCCCAAGTATCTATGTAAAATATATTTAAAAATTAAACTTCCGTTTTCGCTCCCGAAAAATAAGTCCACTCTACTACCTACAGTAAATCATTAGAAAATGCACCAAAAGCGACAGTATTGTTTTTGTTCTCACAATAATGATAATGCAATTAATATTCAGAAAGTTGTGCACCCCGTAGATATTTATATACCGAACGTTTTCTTCTGAATAATAAAGAACGTCTTAAAATACGTTCAATGTTCGGATTTGTGTGAACACATTCGACACATATACAAAGGAAACCTAAACTATACATGTTTTTAATCTTTGTGAAGCTGGAGTATTTTATTACAAAAAAAATTTGTAATATTTATAATTCAAATTTTCAAACAATGTTTAAATTTTAAATTATTATTTCGATTCAAGTTACTTTTTGAACACTGTTGTAACTTATTACATTTTATGGTATCGATTGCCCTTTTGTTGAAAAAAAAGCAAGGGAATAAAAAGCGACGGAAAAAGCAAATGGAAAAAAGCGAATTAAAAAAAAGCGTGTAGAAAAGAAAGCGGAAAAATATTATTAATTATTTTTTTTTTTAAATCAGTAGGTACATAATATTATTAAAGGTAAATACTATTATAATAAGTCATTTGAAATAATATTACATTCCATCCATGAATAGGTACAATATCAGAATGTTTGTATTACATTTAAATATTAAAATTGACATTTATCATACAATTAAAATTAAAATACTTCAGTAAATAATTATTACAATTAGTTTGTTAAAAAAATCAAATAATTGGTAGGTACATCATTAAAAGCAAATGCGTGCTGGTACCTTTACAAACTTATTTTTTTTTGGTTCCACGTCTTTACACAGTGATGATGTGAGGCTCACTTTAGACCGCTTTCCGTGCATTGTCCTACGGGTTTTCACCAATAGCCTCACGAGCAATGCCCCGTTCCACTGCCAAACGACAGTTTGGTTTAGCGCAAAGGCAGTAAACCAGGTTCGGGGGAGGGAACTATGTGAGGTGCAAACGGTGGAATGCCACAGCTCAAGCGAGCAACACAACATGTGCCACTAAACAACAACAGTGGACACAACAATTATACAACAACAAGAAAAACAGGGATCGAGTTACAGCTCGGCGATGGTTTCAGATTTTCAGTGTATGTTAAGAGGAACCTGTTTTATCGAAACTCACGTTAAGCTGATAAGAACAGAGTTTATTGTGAAATATTTATGGTGATTACACGAATAGGGTGGAAGAGCAACATAGGGCGGGG